AGTATTTTAAACTGTATAAAAAAAATTGAAATCAATTGTGAAAATCCATTCCTTATATAGGACGTTCTCTCCTGTTGTGTTGACGTCAAATGTCGATACTAAAGAACCTGGCCCACAAACCCTTTGAATATAAATCCGTCGTCCTCGATGTGGACTCGTTGCTTTCGATTGCTTTATTCGGATTCTGACATTTTTGAGGTGATCAAGATTGAACTCATTGTGAAAAAAAAATCAAATATTCTCAATCAGGAAACTATATTGATACGTTTGCATAACAGATCGTTCATTTTTTTAAAAAAGTTTTTGGTTTAAGGCGAGTTGTGATAATAGTGGATTAAAAAAACAGAAATATTATCAATTATTCGTTCCATCAACATTAATACACATTTATATACAATTAACATCAATATTAGCATCCAACGAATCCAATAAATCTGCTGAAAAAACAATGCTTCATCTGGGTAACAAATAGACCAGTGCTAGAAAGAAAAAAAGAATAATAATAAGTAAAAACCATACATATTATTAAATTGAGAATTTCAACCAGTACAATTTCAAGCCACGGTTTGGATACAATAATAATAGGCAACCGATAATTGATCATCTACAACATTGACATGGGTAATAGCAAGCTTACTGCTATAGTTACACATCTAATCCGAACCCATCTTTAATTTTTTTGATTATTCTCTAGAAAAAGAATGGATCAAAATCCAAAAAGCATTTTCAATTGAAATTTTAACCCCCAAAATTACGCTTTAAAAAAATGAACTCAATTCTCTATGCTCAATATTCAATGTTCATCATTAATCAACCTTCAATATTGGATATTGAGCGAGTATTGAGTATTCCTATACAACACTTTGCAAAATCCTTTAAACATTTATTGATTTTTTTTTATTGATGATCATACAGTTTTTTCCCAAGATAGATAATTATATTGAGAATGAAAATCAGGTGGAAAAAAACCATGAAAAAACATGTCTTCAAATCATGAATATATGAATCAATTGATTCTGACACAAGATCGTCTTGCACTTCTCTTAATTGTATTTATTTTATAAACTATGTGTAATTAATCCTCGTGATTACAAAATGTCAATTGATAAATGGTTTAATTGAGGGTTCTAACCTTTCGAGAGGTTTGGCTGTTTTTATTATCATGAAAGATATTTAAAATAACCAATCAAATTCAATATAGCCTCAATTATTATTGGTTATTAGGTCATTAGAAGATTTACAATAGCATGACAAACTTGCATCGTTAACTCGTATTTGGGCTTTAATTGGAAAGTTGATAATGATTTGATAAATTTTATTCTTAGAACAACAATAACAAAATAAAACACACTAGTTTTTAGACCAGCTTCCCTCCTGATATCTGTCGCAAGCTTCCCAAGCCCATAATATAGCAGACACAAATAATCTGATGGAAAAATAATCAAAGATTCTTTCTTGAAAATTTACAAGATATGTTACAATGAACGATTCTAAAAGTAATAATATCAACTTTACATGTGGTTGAAACAATAAATTTTGGCTTTTGGTGAATCCACATTATTCTTGAATATACTGTAGGTAGGTGCTTCTACAAATAATGAAATTGATGTAAATTTTGCTGATAGTATTTTGAGAAGAAAGAATCTCCAACAATCGGAAGTTTGGTGAATCTTCTTCTATTACTTTAATTAAAATATTAAAATATCAAAAATATCTTGAAAGACAATACAAAGAAAAGTATGGAGATGGTGATGATGATAATGATAGTAAGAATAAAAATAAGAATCAGAATGAGATAGTATTTATAAAAAAATGATTTAAATTATTAAGTTGTTAAATAAATCATTTAATAATAAAATTATTCAATCATTTAAAAATTATTTATACAAAAAAAAAATTACATTTATATATATTTATATATGCTTACGCACTTGAGCATATATTCATTATTCAACTTTGTTCTTTCCTTCTTTTTCTAATCCAAAAAATTCTTTTAATGATGAAACCACAATTTCATGATTTTCAAGGCATGAATATCCACTGACTGTGACTGATCCAACTACACCAACTCCTTTAATAATTAACGGGAATGCTCCTCCGCTAATTAAATAGTCTTTTTTATTAATATTGAAATCATCATCATCTTCAATAGCAATTTTCTTGGTTTGTTTTAAAGACTCTTTTACATATAATGATGAGTGATGATAATCATTTACAACATTGGCTTTTCTTCTTGATGATTCCACGTCAATAGGTTTTGTTCCAGGCATTGAATAGTGAAATAGAAGATGTTGATTCATCATGATAGAAATTACAACCGAAAGTCCTTTTTGTTGTGCGGTTTTTAAAATTAATAAGCCCAATTCTAATGCTACTGAATTGTCAAATGTTAAAAATTGAAAATCTTGTTCTAGTTGAAATAATTGTGCCACTGTGTGAGCTCCAATGTCTATTGTTGACATTTTTATTTATTTCTTTTTTGGAGGAAAAAAAAAATTGCAAAAAATATATTTGGGTAACCTTTTTTTTTTATTTTTTATATATAGTTATTTATCACATGATAAATGTAAATATTTTTACAGAGAGAAAAGAAAATGACGTATCGATCGTTTGTTTATAATAATCATATAAATATTTTTTTCAATCATTTATTAAAGCCAAATAAAAAGATGAGATTTTTTCATCAAAATCAAAAGACAATAACAATAATAACATTTGTTATAATATCGTAAGTAAAGTAAATATATAATAGTGGTATATGGAAGAATGAAAGTGTGAATAAAAATTAATTTATCGTTTCTTTTATAATGATAGGAGGGATTTTTGACTTGTAGTTATTTTAAAGCAGCAGTAGATTTGGGTAATAAAATTCAAAAACCAAATATAAAAATAAAGGTTGAAGGAACTGAAAAGAATCAGGCAAGAGAAGTGGTTTTTTTTAATTATTATATAATTAAAATTTTGAAAATTATTAAAAATTTTTCCAATTAAAAATAAATATAAATAGTGGAAAGATAGAGTAAAAACGTTACAATCTGTAAGTTGTTTTTATTTTTATTATTATTAAATGTTATTATTATTATAATTATATATATATTTTAGATAATACCAAATGCACAAAATCACAATACTTCGCCTTTAGTTTATGAGGGATGTAAATCAAATGATTATAAATTTATTGGTGGATATTCTGATTTTTCTAAATTGGTTGAGAGTAGACATAAATTAGATAATGTTTCAACATCTTCATCATTAAATATTAAAGATGATGTTAATGGATGCGAAGATGGTGTTTGTAAATTATCAACCAACAAATAATAATCATAATCATAATCATAATAATTCAAAAAAGATAATAAAAAATAAAAAAAGCTATAAATATAGTAATTATATTTTAAAACTTTCGACTCTTCGATTTGGTTATCATTTAATATATAAGCCTTTTTGTCTAATAAGAATATTATATCATATCTATTCTTTTTTTGTTGTTATAGATGTTGATGGTGATTTATTGTCTTTATTGTCGTGGGCACTTCATATATCACATTCGTATTTTCCATTCCAATCAAATAGATTATGGTCACCAACTATCCATGTTCATTTTTAATGTTGTATTTAACGTATATTTATTCATTCAACTTTTAAATTTATAAAGTTTTCTAGTACATATATGAGGTGCACATATTTGATAGACTTTAATATCAAACACCTTTAAAGGAAAACTGTTTGATTTAGCATCATCCAACACAGATCTTCTTAACCCAGCTAGTCATAATTATCGACACTTAATAAAATCACAATTGAGTTTATCAAAAATAATTAATGTTTATTTTGATTCAATTCCATATGAAATCACCAAAGAAGGTGAGATCAAGTCTGATTTATCATGGTGACATTATTACATGTTATATCGGATCCTTCAAAGTTACATATCTTCAAAAATCATACGAGTTAATAATTGTATTAATAATGATCATAATACTGGAAGGAACAGTAGTGATAATTATTTGTGAATTAGATGAAGAATATGAATTAGCGATTAATAAATAACACAATAGCCAACAAAAATCAACAATTTACAAGAAAAAAAATGGTATCAATTTGAACATTGAAAGTTGTGTAAACGAGAAAATCATGTGATAAAAAGGCACCAAATAAATAGATATTACTATAATCACCAAATAAATCTCTAATAAAAAAGATCGCCAATCGATTTTGTCACGTGTGACAAATCCAAATGTCCGTATACTATGTTGTACAAACAAACTAATGAATATAATTTTTTAACAAAAAAAAAAAAAAAATGTCAAGTGCAATACGTTTAGAGAATGCTGCAAATGAGTTTCGAAAAATCCAACAAGGTATTTTTATTACTGATTGATAAATTTCAAAAGTTTACTTGATTTTCTAATTTGTTGTAAATATTTAGACTTGTCAAATGTCATAGAAGGAAGACAGCGTTTAGATTCACAATTACGAGAAAATGAAATTGTTCAAAAAGTATATTGATTGAATTGAATTTAATTATCTTTTAATTTTCAAAAAGTAAATTAAACTTTTTTATGAGATCTTTAGGAATTTCAACTATTAAAAGAAGATTCAAATATATTTAAACTTATTGGACCAGTATTAGTGAAACAGGATAAAGCTGAAGCTGTTCAAAATGTGAATAAACGATTGGAATATATTCGATCTGAAATGTTTGTAATTAAGAAGAGAATAGATCTTTATAATAATAATAATAATAATAATTCATTAGTATTATTATTATATTACTTATGATTAATTAATTGATTATAATATTTCAGAAAACGTATGGAAAAACAAATTGAAGATTTAACACAAAAATCAGAAAAGAAAAAACTTGAAGTTGTTGAACTTCAAAATAATAAATCGTAAAGTTCAAACAAGGTTGATTGTTTATTATGTGAATAATTTAAAACTGAAATTGTAAGATCTGTGCTATTAAAATGTTTCATATATGCTTGAATCCCACTGGTGACAATTAACCTCAAAATTTTGTTAATATGTCAATTATTTGTTTTGATTCTAAATTTTCTAATAGGAAGAATTGATTACCAGAGAACATAGTGACAATCCAATTGATCTCCACAATTCATGTCAGGATCCTGATATTCTTTTAATCCTTCCCAGTTTTTTTGTAAAGATGAACATGAAGTTTCTTTCTGTTACAAAATTAAGAGAATAAAGTGGGTCCGCGCTTTTATTTAATATCATCTAAAAATGTAATATGATAAAGGAATGTCCAATAATGTGGTGACACTGCTATGAGGTGATCTAGGATATGCATCTATTGAATTTCATCTGATTACATGCTATGCAACATGTGAAGCATCCATAACTACAAACATTTTAATATTTTTTATTTTTTATTAAATATGTTCTGTCAGTGACATTTGATCTTGGGCATCTAAATAAAATTAATGATCATCCAAAATAATTTGGACCAACTAAATTTCTACTGTTAGATAGAATGTCTCCTCTTTTCTGAACTTTCATAGATTTCTTCAACTCTATCTATCTATCTAAACTTAGTGTTAAGTACTTACTGAGATAATTTTTTTCGAAGCTCTACTGTGATGTTTTGATTTTGCTATGGAAATTCAAATAATAATTATAATTCCATCTTTTTAAAAATTATTGGCAAAGTAATCATTTAAACTTTCCTGAGATTATTTTTCATATAATATCACAATCATATCGATAATAATCCATGATGCTATTGTCATTATTATCCTCATCAAATTAGGCACATCATGCTGTTACGCCTAATTATATTAGAATTTTACACATTGCAAGTAACAAAGATTTTTATGGGGTTGTTCTTCTACAGCAAGAAGATATGATGGTACCTCATTTGGTACTGTCATTTGATCAAATCTAAAGTTATTAGCCGTAACTACTTTGATTTCTCCAAATTGGAATTGTTCCCCATTTCTATTTTTTACAATTATAATGTGCGATACATTCAGAGTTTACATACTCTCTCTTTTTAGCTTGACAATGCTAGTCCAGACAAAGAGGTGCTTACATTTTGGTTTTTCTTATACTACGAAATTGCTTTAATTGCTTTCAATTTTTTTAAAGTTAATTATATAAAAATTATTTGGCTTTGTGCTTTAACATTATTATAATGTTCTATATTAAATGCACTTCTCTGCATATTGAATGTGTATGCAAAAATCGCATTACATCTGTTTTCAAAGCTCGTTTAAATTCATAGGTCACAGCAAATTTATCGAGTTATGCCATTATCAAGGGTTGGTCGCTTTTTAATTTCATGATATAATGTTAGATATAAAGGATAAGATCTTTTTTATCAGCTGTGTATATCCTTTAACTCATCCAAAAATAGAAATGCATGAGAAAGAATTAAAGCCAAGACCTTTCTCTACAATTCTATGGTTTTGTTTTGTTTTGATATGTCATGACATTACCATTGAGGAATTAAGCGATACATGCAATTTTTTATGAAAGCAAATTTTTAAAGGTAACTTACATAATTAATAAACAAGTTATCACATGAACTATATATAATATACTGAATAATGTTGGTTAACAAAAACCAGGTGATTGAGCTTATTGAAATTTTGAAAAAATCAAGTGAAAATATCCTTTTATTATAACAAACTTGTGTGATTTTGAGGCTTAATTCCTCTATGGTAATGTCACTGTCACTAATGCTAGCTTTTATGCAATAATGTTCTTGTACACGTGATGAAATCATATGACTTTGTAGATTCACCTTGTGACTTTTCTCACAAGCTCCATAATTGTAATAATGCAAAAAAAGAAAATTTTACTTTAGTCTTTTTAAAATGAGTACACAGTGGGTCTCGATTTAACGGACCTCGATTTAGCGGATTTAGGGTTTAACAGATAAATTTTCAAAACCAAATTTTTCTATAATTATTTTATCTCGATTTAATGGATTTAATGGATTTTCATATATATTCGATTTAGCGGATATTTTTTAAAAATCCATTTGTCACTTATAATAATAATAATAATAAATTCGGTTCACCGGATATTTCTTAAAAATTCATATATGTCACTTATAATAAATTTTTCTCGATATATATTACGATAACGATGATCTTTACTATTTGGGCTAATAGTAATGACGCGCAATTATATTAATATTAAGAATGTAAAATAATTAGCAATACATCCACAATTTAATCTAACATATTTCTAGCTATTTCTCGGCAATGAAATCATCGATATGTCATTTCCTTTTATTTCTTTATATGCTAAAATCGTAAATATTGTAAAAGGACAAAGTGAAGTTGATGACGATGAAACAAATGAAACAAATGAACCTGAGCTGATGATCATTAATATGGAAGCTATAAAAGCTCCGGAAACTATACTTAAATATGTATAGCAAAAATTTTTAGATATTGATTTTCAAGTAATTAGAAATGTCAAAAGATTAAAAAGTGAAATTTCTTACAAAAATTCTCAAGAACAAGTGCAAACAAGAATGGAAAATTATTATAATGTCAACGTTTTAAGTGAATAAATTGTTTTTTTTTACCAAATGTATTTTTATTATCATCATTATTATTTGCATTCAAATTATTAAATAAAATTAATTTTTTACGTAACATGTATCACATGATTTAATCAAAATTAATCACCAAGATGATTATATCAGTCGTACGACATTTCCTGCCGATCTATAGGAGGAGGTTGTAAAAAAGTAAAATTTGGACCATTGTAAAATTCGAATTTACATGGTAATGGTAATAGTAATAGTAATAGTAAGATCTTATAATCGAATGTGCAAGCATAAGTAGAAATAAATACCCAAATATTACATTATTATGAATACTTACAGATTTTTGATCACTTAGATATGTCTTTTATATTAAAATCATTTATTTTAAAAGTAAATATAATAAATAAATAGATATTAAAATTTTTCTTTATAAATTAAAAGGTGTTTTATCTTTAATTAATTTAATTATTTATCATGGTGATGTTATTAAATATAAGTTAAAATAAAAGAAATATATACACATAAATATATAATAAATATAACTATTAAAACGTTCATTTTTGTAAAACTTGCTTCGCAAGCTTCATACAAACTATTCAATAATTGATAAAACGTTCGTTAGTATCTTTGCAAGCTTCATAGATCTTGTTCTTAACACTTACTTCGATCACTCCCATTGAATAATTGATAAAACGTTTGTTAGTATATTTGAAAGCTTTATAAATCTTGTCCTTAACGCTTACTTTGATCATTCCTACACAAACTGGATCTTAATCTTTATTGTCATCCTCAAAAAAACGATGATTCGTTGTCGTCGTTTGCTATTTATTGCTACTAATATTATTGTTTAATGTTGCTATAACAACTACTGGTTGATATATATTCGTAATAATCATTAATGAAACTTTAATCAAATATAAAGCAATCACTAATAAAATTATCTTTTAGTTTTTGCTGAATCCCATCTACATAAAATTCTTCATAACTATTAATTACTATAGAATAATTTTTTGTGAACCTCTCTAAAACTTATTAACCAATACTCCCATAAAGTAATGACCATATGAAAGCTTAAAGTATTCTACACCTTCTCATTTACTATCAAGTTTTTTAAAGAGATATTGAGAAATAATCTGAGCTTTGAAGTGAAAAAGCAATACCGTTTTTGAATAGCCGTGAATTCATGTATAGAAGAACTTTCAATATGAAAAGGTATTCATTAGAAAACTTTAATGGTGTACTTTCATTTTACTCTAACAACGAAGTTCGAATTTATTATAAAATAACGAGATATTAATATCTTAAAAAAAGCTTCATGTGACACAAATTTCAAATTTATTCTCACATATAGAAATAGATGTCACACAATATAATCAGTCTCTATAAAATTGATCTATTATTGTTTCATAAAAAATGAAGAAATTTGTCATCAAAGAGTGTGCTGAACTCATTTCAGACCCTATTATGTTGAGAGGTCAAGATCAACGTATCTTTAACCATGCTGACTTGCCCGTCGTGAAAGATGAGTTGTCAGTGACATTACGACTGAAACTTCATAGTCATACTTCCGTTTCTACTATTTTTCACAAAGGTAAGTATGCTTTTTGCAAGAAAGGCATTGGTAGCAAAATTATTGGTTAGATTGATTTTTTAGAATCATGTCTAACTGATGCTCTCTTGATCTCAAATAAAATACACATACATTTAGGTACTGGAGATTTAGTTCGTACTCCTGGGCTTTGGTTAGTAAGAGAGCAGCCATTATTGTATGCTCGTTTCACAGGCAACTGGAATAGTAACACAGGGATTGATAGGCTCGGCCCCGCACTTTTGTTAAACAAATGGTATCACATAACTTATACACTTTCTGATTCTGAAAAAAGATTAGATGTCTACATAGACGGTGAGTGGACCGGGTACTATAGCATCCAGCACGTTAAAACGCAAAAGGTTATCTTCAATGATGGACCGCTGTATATTGGGCGTGCTTTTCTCTGGAATGGAATTAATGGAGAAATTAGGTATTCATTTATGATAATGAAAATAAACTAAATCACCAAAATATTAAATGATCATTTTATCAAATAGCAATTTTCGCTATTTCAACTGGCGCTTATCTGTTGAAGAAGTAAAGAAAGATTTTCTCGTAAGATACTTTAGAATTTCGCATCATGAGTTTTTACAACTTGTTTGTTACGATCATTTTATTTTTTAAAAATAATGAATTTCAGAAAAGGCCAATTGCAAAAGGATCAAAAATTGCTCTTGTTCATGTGCCTACTAGAAAATATTTGTCTAGTAAAGGTGTCACATACCCGACTCATAATCAATGGATGGTATTTATTATTATTTTCCCTTTATTACTATTTATACTAGGAAAACTTAACATTGTAAACTTTATTTATAAAATTTACAAAGGTTGTTTGTAATGGTCAGGAAATAGATTTGAAAAATGATATTTGGACTTTTATTGAAGCTCATGATGCAAGAGAAAGTGTAGGAGGTCTTGTGTACTTTAATACCATTATTGGATTTAAGCATCAAGCGACAGGAAGCAATTTACATTCTCACATTAAACATCATGGGGTAACACCAAAATCAAAGCATCAGCAAGGTATTTTCGAGTTAATATAATGTATCTTTTGTATATTAAAGTTTACAAGAATAACAATCAAATTTTTGATATTTAGTGACCCTATATGGGGATGTAAATTTTGATGATGATTGGCTTATTCGACGTTATAGCCCAAACGCTTCTTATGATGACTCAGGTAGTTTAAGTCATGGTGATATCATCAGTCTTTTTCATGCCATGAGTGATAAACATAAACTAGCACTATACAGTCATGACATCTTATTAGATGATGGAACCCAAGAAGTTGCTTGTTATGGAAATGGAAGTGATGAAAATAATAAGGTGTGTGTAATTTTTCAACTCGAATGTCATGAATTTGCTTGTGCATTAATGAGTATTTTTATTATTATAATGCTTTTTAGTGGCGTATTGAATTAGTTGACTGATGCGAAATTATGATTCGTAAAGAATAATATTTCAATCAAAAAATTATGATTGCTTAACCTAATAACAACATTCCTATAAACTCTATTTAAAAATTATCGAAAATGTTAAATTTTTCTTGAACGTGAAAATTGACTGGGTAAAATTGGTCATAAAGAAATAGCACTACATATACCAATAATGTTAAAGGGATTAAATTTTTGTAGTATAAGAGGAAATCTTCACGCCGCGTGACTTCTGAGTACCAAGAAACAAAACTTATTCGTATGAGACATTAACATTTCTGGTTATCTGATGAGTGAAACTAATTCATCAATGAAAAAACTCCTATACTTATCTTTTGTGTTGCAATACAAATATACATGTGAGGTTTGTTTGTTCCCGACCCAATAATATTTAAATAAATTGTGATTATTTACTTCTAGATAATCGCATCCTCTTGGTAGCTTTTGTCACTTATGCGTTACTATTTCCGGATTTTTGATATTGTGAATATTGTACATGATTTGTAGTAAATTTACCTCGGGTTTTGCGTCTATTATCTTGACTTTGTGTTTGCGAGACATAAATTATATGATGTGCTGTTATTAATAACTTAGAAATTAAAGAGGTTATCTAGTTATTAACTTTGAGCAAAAGATTAAGCCTTTACTTTAATCAAAGGAATTATACAGCAAATATTATCCAAGGAACAACAACAATTTTTCAGCGTTAGTTCCAGTGAATAATAGCAATCAATTTCTTGATGTATCAGAATCGTGAACAACTTTTGATCAAGATGTTCCTTGGACAGAAATAATGATTCAAATCCCTTTCGTCTTTGGAAATCAGTAAAAAAAGCAACATCAAATCTTTCAATGCTTGCAATTCGTACCTCCAGCTTGACACAAAACGTTTCTGGTCTATTATGGCGTCAACTCATACATCAAAACGTGATTGCCTTAAAAATATTCATGCTTCAAAGATTGCAAAAATCAAATGGCACTTAATTAATACAAAATCATCAACAAATTTAACTCGAACCCCAATGCCAATTGATGCTAATATAAATCCAGCCTTTGCAGTAAATGAAGTTTCACAAGGTGAAGTGGAAGAAATTTGAAGGTGAAGACATCAATGAATTAGATTAAATGACAATGAAGAAATTCAAAATAATGGAGTATTTCTGGGATTGAATTTTGATCAAATTTTTGGGTTTTAATGCCAATTTCGTTGTATAGAATTTTATTGTGATAATGATTTTTTCATTGATAATATAGAATTTGATTGTGATAATGACTTTTCATTGATAATTTACCTGGTGTAACATTTGCAATAAATTTTAAAAACTTATTCTTTGGCATTTACTAATTTACCATATATAGTCATGAACTTCTGTCCATCCATTCAAAATATAAGATGGTCGGTCGTATTACTGAAAAAATTTTAAATTTTAAATTTTAAAAAAAAATCATGATTAATAAAAGCTTAATATTAAATAATGTAAAAAAAAAGTTGCTATAAATTTTTTTTCCTATTGATTATGTACCAATTACTATGCTAACTGATTTTTTAATCATTAGAATAATAAACAAAACCACCAACAATATGAATTGATAATAATAGGTGCTGGTATTGTTGGTTGTTCTGCTGCTGTAGCTTTTGGTAAGCAAGGGAGAAAGGTTTTACTAATAGGTAATTATGATAGATAATAATAATAAACAATCAATGAATTGATAATTGTTGAAAGTAATAAATCATATTTATAATCAATTATGTCTAAATTACATTGTTAGAAAGAGATATGAAAGAGCCTGATCGTATTGTTGGTGAATTACTTCAACCTGGTGGTGTTGCAGCTTTAGAAAAACTTGGGTTAAGAGGTGAATGAAATATTGCATGGTTAGATATACAAAATAACTTATTTATTTGAAAAATAATTATATTGATTTTTTTGGTCTTGATCTTTTTAAAGATTGCCTGGAGAATATTGATGCAATACCTTGTCATGGATATGGAATTTTTTATCAAGATGATAATGTTCATGTTCCATATCCAATTCTTGGTAATGGAAAACAGGCTAGTGGCAAATCATTTCATCATGGTCGTTTCATAATGAATCTTAGAAAAGCTGCTTCTGAGACATCAAAGTATGAATGAATAATACAAACAATAATTTCTTTTTATTAATTAGGTAATTAATTAACCCACTGATCAACTATTTTTTTATAGTGTTACAATTTTTGAGGGAACAGCAAATGAATTAATTCAATGTCCAATTACTGATCGTGTGTTAGGTGTTATATGCACTCAAAAAGTTCAAAATGGTGATAGTAATAATATTATTAAACAAGTAAATATATGTTATAATTTTTCTTTATTTGAGAATAATTTATTGACCAGTGATGATATTATTATTTATCATTTAGTTTTTTGCACCACTTACAATTGTTGCTGATGGATGTTTTTCTAAATTTCGTAAATATTTTGTTCCAAGAGAACCCACAGTGAAATCCAATTTTGTTGGGTAACTAATCCTTTTTTTTTTTTGTAAAAAATTCTTTTTTTATTATTATTAAATTTTTTTAATAAATGATTTTTTCTAGATTCATAATGAAAGATGCAGAACTTCCATTTCCAAATCATGGAACAGTTTTATTGGGAAATATAGCACCAATTTTAATGTACCAAGTAAATAACAATATCTGTTTTTTTTTGTACTTGAGGAGAAAATTAAAAGTAACTGGTTATTTATATAAATTTTAGATTGGAACTCATGATACACGTGTTTTAATTGATATTCCTGGAAAGTTACCAAGTAATGGTTCAGGTGAATTAAAGGTAATAATAATAATAATAATAATAATAATAATAATAATAATAATAATTTTAATTATAATTATAATTATAATTATAATTATAATTTTTATTAATTAATTTTGTCCAATTAGAAATACATTGAAACGTTTATATTACCATCAATTCCAAAATCTATTAAGGTATTAAATAATAATATTACAAATAATTACAACAAATAACAATAATAATAACCTTAATGATAATAATAGGGTCCATTCTATGAAGCTCTTCAAAAAGAACGACTTCGTTCAATGCCAAATAGTTTTTTACCACCATCTGCCAATATCAACAGTGGTTTAATAATGTTAGGTGATGCAATGAATATGAGACATCCATTAACAGGAGGTAGTATTGTCAAGAGGCAAGAGTAAAATAATAATAATTCTGCAACAAAAAAATTTGATCTTTCACAAATTGTTTCACTTTAAATTATCATTTTAATCTTCTTCTAATTCAAACAAAGGTGGTATGACTGTGGGTTTTAATGATGTTGTCTTATTATCAAAACTATTATCACCAACTATTGTTCCTGACTTCAATGAAATTGGTCTAGTTTTGGCTCAAATGCAAGCATTTCATTGGGAAAGAAAATTTCATTGTAGTATGGTGATTAATGTTTTAGCACAAGCTTTATATTCATTATTTGCTGCAAATGAAGGTAATAATAATAATATAATAATCCTAATTAACAAACAATTGAATCTAATTTTTTTTATCTGTTTGTTATTGGTTCATTTCTTTTTAGATGAAAATCTTCGCATATTACGTGAAGCCTGTTTTAATTATTTTCACTTGGGTGGTATTTGTGTTGAAGGACCTTGTAGTTTACTATCTGGGTAAACATTAAATTTTTTTAAATCATTATTGTTATTATTATTATTATTATTATGGCAAAATTTATATTTATTTTTAATCTTAAAACTACTTATAAAATTCAGATTAACACCAAATCCTTTGGTTTTGATTTTTCATTTTTTTGCTGTTGCAGTATTTGGAACTTGGAGAATAATTTCTAATGGTCATATAACACAATTTCCACAAAATATCATTAAAAGTATAATGGTAATATATACAGCTTGCATAGTAATTATCCCTATTTTATATACTGAAATTAGATTTTAAGCAAAAAATCTTTTTTAACAAAAAACCTTACAAATTAATAATACAAATCATTAATAAAAATTTTATCCAATAGAATTAATTAGTCAATTTATTACTCCCTTATCTTCCTTTCAAACACATCCCAAATCTCATTAATTAATTTAGCTCATCTATATATAGAAGTAGAAATTTTTGTTTGTACATTAAAAATTAAAAAAATTAATTCGCCATGTTTTTATTTCTACAATAAATTTAAGATTTATTAGTTTCTTATTGACTCTCTTTATTAATGAAGTTGATAAAATATTTATATTTGAGCTTTTATCTTCCTCATAACCCTTGCCAACAAAAGATGATATTGTTGTTGATTTTCTTTTAACTAAATTGTTTATTTTTCTTAATATTGTGATGAAGGAGTTTATGATGTCCCAATATTATTTTGTTGTTCTTGTAAATCTTCAATTTGATTATTTATTTCGACAGTAAAAGATGTCTTATTATTATTAATACCATTTGATAATAGTTCATCAAAATAATTAATCCAAGATGCTGTTTGATTCAATCAATAGTGTTTCATTTCCAAAATCTTTTAACAATAGCCCATTTTTTAACATTATAAACGTTTCACCATCATTGCCATTTCTACTTCTTTCACCTAAACCAATTTCTAACCAAAAAAACCAGAATTTTTACTTGTTGCAAATTCTGTCCCAATAGCCAACAATTCCTAAAACATTTTAACTTTTAGCTCTGAGCTTTTTTCATTCTTGTCATTCTTTTTATTTATCCATCTTGATTTTGGATCATCTTCAAATATTGGAATAACATCAATTGCATTTTCATTATCAGAATATGGATAATCATATCTCCAAAAACTGTCATCATCATCCCTACTATTATTATTGGCATCTTTAATAAGTAGTCTAGCTTCTCTTTTTGATAAAACATCAGGTATAAAAAACCAATTATTTACATTATCAACTTTTATTTGTTGCTGGCTTAAACTGTTTTTGTTCAATACTTTAAATGTATTTTTCCACCATCTCAACAAATCAGTATCATCCAGTATAAATTTATTCGGATTTTCTAATGAATTGTGAAAAAGATATCAAGGTTGCGTTCATGCAAATAGATTGATTTAAATGATTTTTTGTTGTGAATTGATTACACAATATTTCAAATATGCAATAATCAAATTTTGAGGAAGGGTGGGATGTGAGTGGGAGGAAGAGGAAGAAGGGTAAGGACGTGAACCAGTTGTATCAACTTTTGATATATAAATTGTCATCAAATCTTTATCCAAGTTATAATATTCATACACTTCCATACCATTAACAAAAACTTTTTTTCCTGTACTTGCAAATTTTTCTGCAACCAGCATTAATAATTTTTTATGAAATTGGCTTGTTGTTATCTTACTTTTATCATCACCGTCATTGTCATTGTTAGTAGTTGTTGTCATTTTATTCTTGATTTTCGCTGTTGCTGCTGATTGTTTTTTACTTTTATTGTTAAAATTGCTTTGTAGACAAAACGAAAATAATATATATATGTGAACCATGTATTGTTTGCTTTAGACTACTGGCAATATATTCAATAAGAAATTGTTGTTGTTGTTGTTGTTGTTGAATATTACTATTATTATCCATTTTTTGAATGCTATACTGTTTTTTTTGTGACAGCTGGCTGGTACAGCTTTACTAACTGAATTCAAAAAATCAAATATTTTAAATGAAACAAGGAAAAAATGGACTCTCAATCTGAAGGTTCACTATATTAAAAGATTTTGTTGATAATTAGGTATTGTTGTATGTGAAATTGAAATATTATGGAGTGGGATTGGCTAATTTGAATTTCATTTTCATGTAGTAGTATTAGTATCAAATAATTTTTATATTAAAATTAAAATTAAAATTCGAATATCTGTAGTACCCGTATTAATATGTAATACTTGTAAAATTGCCTCATTAAAATGTTTTCAGTAAATGAAGAAGAAACAAATTCTAATTTTTCGTTAGAGCCCTTTTACCAATGATGGATTATGTAGACCACCAAATAAACAAAAATACAAAACTTTGACGAAACATGGGAGTCATATACATCTGTTCTTGCAGAACGGTTATTTACTGATGCTAGAAACTGTATTACACCAAAGCAAAAGTTTTTTTTTAAAAAAGAAATATGAAGTATAATATTTTTGACTTTTAAAAATTTGAAATATTTCAATGAAGTTTTTTGTCCATGAGGTTTTTCTGCTTCATGAATTATTTGAGAATTCAGGTTTTTTTCAGTATTCTTTTGAAGGTTGTTCAGCAAAATGAAATATTGTTCTTTGTATGAAATGAAACGAGCGTAAATATAATGGGTGCTGTATTTTATTGTAAATTTACCCTCAAAGAATTTATCAACAAGTTGTTTTACAACTTCCTTTATAATAAAAAAAAAGTTTCAAAATTATGTTTTTCCAGATTCTTTAAAGAATTTTTCTTTGTCAGGGGGTTTTCGGATGTTGATAAATAACAGTCTCCACTCCATATCTGAAGATTTTTAGCCCGGAATTTTTGTAAGTCCCAGTGAAGTCATCTCCAAGGTAATCCATAATGTTTGTTATTCTAAAACTTTTGTAAATAAATATTAGTAAGAGATGTTAATCGATTAAAAGTGATAAAAATAAAAATCAAGTGTTCGCATAAGCATAATTAATAATAATTATTAACATCATTAATAATAATAATAATTCAATACTATTATCACCATTAACATCATCCACGTCTTCATATCTAAACCCACCATCACCACGACAACAATCTGTCCCTCATCTTCATCCACATACTATTACCTTCCTCACATATATATATCCATTATACTTTCATTAATATGGCTTATATTATGGATACCAATGCTATTGGAGATAATATATAGAAATTACAATGCTGATAATGACATTTATTACGATGTTAATTATAATGATGAAGATGATGAAGATGAGGAAAATGGTGATATTGGTGGAAGGAGTGAAGATATCATAAGTGTTAATAGTAACGTTATAGCAGATTGTAAAATAATAAAAAATGCGGGAGATAAAGTAATTAAAAAAATAAAAAAAATAAAAATACAAAAGAAGCTATGTTATAAAGGGATTCCTGATGATATTGATCCAATTAATGTAAAATGTGAAGTGGTTGTGAATATATCATAAATCTTTGCTCTGCAACTTAATCACGCCAGCTCTCACAACATTGTCTCATTATGAAAAAACATAGCTCTTTAAATTCTTATATTTCATTGTTGGCACTGCACAGCTATTCCAAGTAGCTGATGATGAAAGTTTTGTTATAAAACTTGTGACTATATGATAAATCACTGTGTTAAATCCACAATCTAGATAATTTTTTTGCCCTCTTTGTTCATTATCAAATGCAAGGAACAAAGTCCATTATGCAAAGGTTCTTCTTCTGCCAATCCTTCTAACCAAGTTCAAAACATAGAATAACTCCCTTCGATTGTTATATGGTTATCTATATTAATGACTCTTTTGAACTTACCATGGAATATTTTACAGCTGATGCTGCAAGATTAATTTCTGATGCATATTTACTATGACATGAACCATATATTGCATCAACTGCAACAGCTCTCTTGAAGAATTTTTCTTGGCTTAATTTATCAGAATAGTAAGTATTTATATTCTGAGTTAGAGTTTCAATGAATTTTACAATCCATTTAACCAAGTTTTGGGAGTATAATTCATAATATTTTCTAATGAAAACCTATTAGTATTTCTAATTAATGATTTGATATCATCATACAGAGAATCACATTCAGCAAGTGCAATTTCTATAATAGAATTTATATGTTTTGGCTGATTGCTAAAATCCAAATTCCATTGCTCAACAAGAACTTTGTTTTTTCCATTGCTTCAGTTAATTGATCATAAGAATCAACTAATTTCCTTTTTAAATCTTTTATTTCGTGGGGTTGAGTTCCAAGTTGATGTGACAGTTGTTCAATATGTAAATTCCACCGCTCATAAGGAACTTTGTTTTGATCCTGTACTTCAAATATTTCATGATTTTGATCTTCTAATTGATGTGATAGTTGTGTGATTTCATTATTAAGTTCTACAATAAGTTGTGATTTGTTCCAACATTCCAGTTCATGCAACTTCAACAAATTTTTTATTCTTTGAAATTCTTCTATAGGAACAGATTCATTGTTGGCAAATTCTGCTTCAGTAAACTGAATAGTTGTGTCATTATTAATGCTAGAAATACTAGAATGTGTCTCTAATATATTGTTCCGACATGATCTTTTTTTTCTTACAACAGGAGTGTCAATTTTGCCTGCATTTAAATTTGAGAGCTTCATAAAATCTATTAGTAGATATAATTTGGTTATAATGTACCCCACAAACAGAATAAGAATTTAAAGAAACATGAAGGAGCTCAGGGATATAGTCATGACAGGCTTGTAGTATTTTAGCTGCTGCTTTACTACTAGCATAACGCCATGTTTGATTGTTCTTTGTAGCACATGGTTTCAAGCCCTTATCTGTGTATAGATCAACTAAGTTAGCAAAAATACATGGAAGATCTTTGGCTTGTGTCTTTTGGCATTCTGTCACTAATAATAAAATTATTATCATTATATTAAAAAAAAACTATTAATTTCCGGCAAATCAACATAAAAAGTATGCAATTTTTCAGTTAATTAGCTCTCATTTACTTTTTGAAGTCTTTGATTATTAATTTTTATGATATGGTTACAAAATTTTTTGTGTAAAGTCACATGAAACATGAAGTGGAAAGAGCCTATCAAAATTGTGTGTATACACTCACCTGTCAAAAGTATCATCACTTTTTTAGAAATATTAATACAAATGTTATTTTAAATTATTATGTCTGTCAATCCTCTAGATAATGAATTTTTTTTATAAAAATGCCGAAAATTTTTTTTTGAAAAATTTTTATTTAATTATTTATTTTACTATATATTATATTTATTTCTATAAAATACGCAGAATTTTCAGAAATAAAAAACAGTTTTTTAAGAAAAATTTAAAATGTCTATTCATCAACAAATTCAACAACAGCAAACCTATTTTAATAATTGTCAACAAAGTTCCGAAATTCATTACAGCTCCAACCACCATCAATTTGAAACAAATAATTTACCATTTTTAAACGGCGATTATATTGATGTTAGTAACAATAACATTAATGGTGATATTTACTATATGCCTCTAATCAAATAATTCTTGATAGTGATTATTTAATGTATCCTGAAGAGTTCTACAAGTCCTGGAGATAATTTTCGTATACATTTTTCGGTCGAATTTTTGATCATAGCACAGCAAATAACTATAATTATTCTTTACATCCATCAATGCTAATAGTGTTGGAGAACAATGCGAGTATACTACAAATATTCCTCATCGTCAAATACGATTGGATCATCAACAAATGATTCAAGTTTGAAAATATTTCTGATCCTAATATTTTCGCTTCATCCAAGCCATATCAGAAACTTTACAAAAGTAATAATCAAAGAAGTAAATCTTTACATTATTGCTCGTATATTGCGAGTTACAATAACCAATCAAATTGACTTTTAAAAGTCTTTGATGTTTTTATATATATACAAGATTTTCCAAATTTGAAACATATAATTATCGTGCACGTGCTAAAATATCATAAATTGCCCACTTGGTTATGCAATCTATGAAAAACTAAAACATTGATTTATGTTAATATTCTGGAAACCTTGTTCTGCGCACACTCTTCAATCAGTGATAAGTAAAGATTTATTAGTAATAAACCTTTAGTGAAAAGAACAAAAGGGTTAATTGATTTTACTCTGTCTTAAGCAGTGTTAACGTATTCAAATATAAATTAATAGACATCCTGATGTAATAATTTTTTTTAATGCTTTTAAATAAATAAATGTTTTTATTATTATATAAATATTTTATTAATTTACGATTTATCAGATGTTACAACTCGTTGGAACAAGGCTTATAAAAATCAAAGGATTTATTTCAGTATGAGCAAGTCTTTTGGAAACTGATTCTTATTAAGATACCTGAAAAGATAGTAGAAGATTAAAAAAAAATTATTCCAAGTGATGGAGGGCGGAAACTTTAGATTGATGTTAAATAAATATATATATATATATATATATATATTTCTTCAAAATAATGTTCAATCGAATCTCATTTCCTCCAGATATGAACTTAATTTGGAATTAAATGATGCCTTTAGCGATGACATGATCAAAGAAACGGAAAGATGTCTAAACTGATATAACTTTAAATCGACCAATTCAAACAGGAGGTGTGCTAGTTTTAGATTTGTATGCAGCTTATCAACATGTGACTGACTGGCTTTACCTGTGGAAAAATTCTATAAATATGATGTGGCAAAAGTACGAGATTACATGCTTGTAAAAGGAGAACTTTATTAAACCAACACTTATTATTAATATTAGATCTATTCATTTTATTTTTTTGGAATGATTTTTAAAGAACTCTACAACTTGTAATTGTATAATTTGTATAGTAAAAAATGGTTATTTTCGAAATTGCTTGCTTAAATCTGCATGTTAGTACAGTCAAATCTCGTTTCAATGAATCTTGTTTTAACAGATAGATTATAATTCGCATTAGAATGAACTTTTAAATTTTTGCTTCACATATAAATTCGTTGAAACGCGCGATTAGTAATTTTGGCAATTTTCTTATGTACTCCCGTAGGTTTTTTTGACTGTATTACTATTACTTGGATAATGTAATAATAATAACATCAAATACATTGCATAATCGTCATGAATAATGTAATAACAGTGGATACGAAAGCAATCACATTCAAGGAAATAATTAAATAACGACAAAAAGATAAATTTATATATATAAATATTAAATATTAAATATTAAAAAAAGTTATAAGATAAAAAGATTGTCAGAACACTTGTATAAGATGAAAATACTTGGACTCAAAACCATTGATGAGTATTACCTATTTTCAGGGCACCCTGACAAAATCTATTCTATATCTTTACCAATTGCCAATATTATATCATTCCCATTATCTTCTCTATATTTTTTTTTCTTTATTAATCCATTCCTAGATTGCTTCTATTTATTGTCTTCTCTCTAAGGTTCATTTTTTGTTAAAAATTTTTTGCAGTGGAGGCAACAATTCCCTCCCCTTTTCCACCATACAATTTTTGGATTTCACGCCAAATGAAAATTTGCATTCAACTCGATCGATCTTTTTATCAAACAATTGTTTGAAATTCTCCTACAATTTTTCAATTTCTCTCGGGCATTTTTGATTACCAGTTGGTTTACTTGGTTTATGTTGTTTCTAGGTTCTATTGATTAATTTTTTTTGGTTGGCTGGTTTTACAAGGTTGATAATAATCCAATAATAATAAACAATCCACAAAAAATTTCTTTTGTAAAGATGATCAATTTTTTATTTCGTTAAATATCATTGCAATTTTTTATGTAAAAATGAATTGGTGATGTCTATGTTCATCAAACACAAGTGGTACTTTCTTACGTTGTTTCTAACGCAAGTAAAGTAAATCTTAAAACAAAAAATTAATATAGTAAGGAAACGAAGATTTATAATACTTGTGAAATTTTTGTTTCAAGTAGTTTATCAATGCTCTTTTTTTATGGATGATTATGATGCATTCAATAGGAATCAATTAAGCTGGAACATTTTCAGATAATCATATGGAAGATGATAGATGTTGAATGGTTAACATTATATTGGTAAATTTGTTTAATTTACTATTACTACGAAAATTGAATTCCGAGTAGCATTTTGTAATCAATATTGTGTTTCCTGAAATGTTTTTGTCTAATTTTTCATTTTGATTTTTTCCTCGTTGAATGACAATATCTCAAATATCAATTTCACACAATTCTAAGTCATCTCTTTCTAACATGTCATTAGATTTAAAAAAAAAATCTGCTGAAACAAGTTAAATGGTTGATGATGAAATTCTATGAAGATGAATTAAATTCTGTTGAACCTGTAAAATTTAATTCGTTACATGTCAAAAATTTTGTTGCCATCCAGATTATCTATATTAAAAGTTCCATTGTAGATATATCTATGGTAATAAATGTATTTTCTTTTCTGTTAATAAATTATCTATATTAAACATTGGATGTTTAATTAATAATGTAAATAAAAACAGTTCTCTAATTTCAAAAAAAAATTGTACTTTACTGTTTCTTGAAGGATCTACTAAGGATTGCCTTTTTTCTCTCGAAAATAATGTTTGCGAACCCTTTTCCCAAATTATCAATTAACCATTTACAGACCCAATGAAGTTTGCATTCAAATAAAGACAATTTGGATAGAGATAACAATAATAATACATATATCATATTTATTTGTTTTTTAGTTACATGTAATTTAATCAAATCTTGACATATTGTTTTTTTAAGCGAAAGTTATTCACTGTGGCCAACTCGTCTAAACATTTTTAACCACAATAGACATAATAAAAGGAAAAAACTTTACAGCAGTCGAAAAATTAAACAAC